AATTTCCTGGAAGCAGACGCTGAAATGTATGTGGCTTGGAACTAAATATGTGAAAGGGCTGTGCTGTGCTTATCTTTCTCCTTGCAAGTACATCCAGTAACTCATTGTAATGACTGGGGAATTAAAAGTCACCATTTCTTCCTTCCTCTCTGTTGGTGATTTCTGTCCTTAAAAGCACAGACATGTAATTAGTTGAAGTGTTATTCAAGGGAGTTGCTTAAAGGGTCTTCCAAGGAGACTGGGGCAAAAATCTGCAAAACCAGACCTGAAGGCAAGAGAGAAGGGTTTTGTTTATCTTTTTTAATTTGTGTGCATGATTCCCCATAACCCCTCCCTGCCATCAGCCAGTACTTTTGCTGCAAGACAGCTTTAAGGGAGGGGGAAGCAAGTCCAAAGATAACAGTGGTTTTACCAGCAGCTGGGGTAAATGGTGGTGGTGGGGAGTGGGGGATGGTAGTGGTGCTGAGGAGAGAGGGGACTGGATTTTGGGCTTTTATTTAAACCCATAAAATCACAGAAAACCAGGCATCCTATGCATTTCCCACAGGTGGAAGACAGGACCTCTGAGTTGGAGTGAACCAGATAACTCCATTATACCTCGTTGGTGCAGCACATGCATGGAAGAGAGTCTAGAGCTGGAAAGCTGATGCTTGGTCTGGCTGGGCTCCCTGTATGACCTCCCACTTATCTGGGGGAAGGAGGAGAGGCATTGCTTGACTTTCCAGCTGCAGGGTTTTTTTCCCCAAGAACTAGTTTTTGTTGCCCCTCACAGGAAAGATAGAATTTTTTTTTTTATTAAAATAGGTTATTTTGAACATTTTTTTCTGTGGACATGTAGTAATATTCAGCTCTGAGCTCTAGATTCATGTACCTAATCAATGCAAGCAGAATTCCTCCCTTCAAGTTTTCCTCATAATTACTTGCAGCTCCTGCAGAGAAGAAGGAAATAGAGACCAGAAATAAATGCCCAGTCAGGTTATACGGCAGAGTGAAACACTAGAATAGCCTGTGTAAGGAATACTTGGAAGTATTTAGAAAAACTCTCAGGCAGCTTTGCAGTGAATTCAGAGGTTTAACCCTGTCTGCGATGCACAGAGGGCTTTTAAGTAGTCTAGGGAAGATATAGACTTGCTTTTCTTAGTTACCTGTAGACTTCATTCTATGAAAAATTCTTAGGAAGTGCCCCTAATAGATGTAGTCTAAAAATCTGGAAAGGTAGTAAGTTACTGCAAGTCATTCTTCCACAGACAGGCACAGACTCTAGACTGTGCTACCTGTCAGTCTGTCTTTGCCTAATTTTTGCATTTTTTAGAATGCTTTCACCAGTGTTCTGTGGCAGTGCAGTCATTCATCATGCAGCCATTCACCCTGTCTGCTCTTGGAAATGATGGTCACAGCTTGCCCACTTGTCGTGCTTTTATTTGTATTGGAGAGTTTGCTATGCTTTTACCATATATTCCCATAAGAACTTTGAGTTCTTTTTCTTGGTGTTGCCTTGATACAGAGATTAAAGAAAATGAAGAGATTAAAGGAAATGAAGAATGTCCTGGAGGGAAACAGTTCTGTAGCTCTTTAAATAAGGTTATGCACTTACTTGAGAATTTATTGTTTATTAAATAAATTATTGTTCCTATTGAGTCAATACAGAATTATGCTTTTAATGAAACTTTAACATAGGTCATTTATAATTAATCTTGTAAGCAAATGTTTCCATCTTTATCACATAATAGATAAGGTTGGAAGGAGCCACAGCAAGTCATCTGGTCCTTATCAAGAATAGTTATCTACAGGAATTACTAACACCTTCTACAGAATAACAGTGTTGACTGTTTGAATGACTCATTCTTGAAAAACTTTGAGATGTAAGTCTCAGTAAACTCTGTGTGTTTTCCTTCTTCCCTTAAATGTTATTTTTCATTTAATGACTTATAGTTCAGCTCTGCCTTGGAGACTTTTTTCCTAGTTACTTGTTCTGGAAGTGCTGGCATTGGAGCAGCTCAGATTTGTGCAATGAAGGGCAAGGAAACAATCTGCTCTTGCAGGAGGTAGGGGTATTCTCTGAAGCAGGATGAGTAGGTTTTTTTGGTTTGTGGTTTTTTTGTTTTGTTTTTTTTTTTTATTTCAGAGAGGTAAAAAAGCTCAAAATTCCTAAGCACAGAGAGTATCCATATTAAGTATTTGAAGTCATGATTTCTCTCTGCCTGCCATCAGCTTCTTCTGAAGCTAGTTGTAATGCACTGCAAGGAGTCTGCCTTCAAAGCAGGGAGTGGAGATTTCAAGTTCCTTTGGTTTTTCTCCTTCCTTTGCCTTAATTGTTTGACAGTGTCACTGGAGGAATTGCTTTGAAAGGTAGGAACTCTCACGATGTGGTTGAATATGTATTCATCAGCTCAGCTGTGGCAGTGAAACTCCAAAACCTCATTAAAGGGGCAAAAGAATCTTTTTTTTTTCTCTCTATGCAGTTGATTTCTGCTTATACAGTATGACTGGTGTACAAAGGAAGATTCTTCCTCTGATCTGTACTGTGAAGGAGGGAGGAGAGTGTGAACAGGTGACCTTGTGTGGCTGAGCCACACAGCAGTTGCTGGGTAATAAATTTCTGTGGAAGGTTGTGGAGGTAAGCCGGTGACACAATGCAAGAGTAGCACAAACTGGCACTAATCATTGCTTGAGGTCCACAAGGAGAAAGGAGGCTAGGAAGAGAGGGAAAAAAAGAGTAGGGAAGATGAGGGGAATAAACATGTTAAGAAATTGGAGGCTGGCAGAGGGTATTTACTGTATTTAAATACAGTGGTGTTCAGTGCCTGTTTTGTGTTTCTGCAGCAGCTGCCTGAGCATGTCAGTGACAAATGGCAGGTGAGGTGAGGGATAGGCACCTATTTCTGCAGTATTTACTCCAACAAAAATCCTGCTTATGTGAAGTCTGAAAAATCAAAGCACATCTAGAAATAATTTTGCCGGTGCTTTTTTGGAATGTATTTGAAACTGAATATATAAAACTGAAGAGCTCTATGCATGTGGCACACCTGTATAGTGAGATTCACTATATGTTATTAGTTTTGTTCAAATTCGTTAGTAAAAGACAAAATAAATTAAAAATTTGCACTTGAAGTGAGATGATTTTTCTCAGGTAAAGTTGGCTTTTTTGTCAAGACAGCCTTACCATCGTCATCTCTGCCTTTGGTTTTCTTTCCCAGGGAATAGATTTAAAGGCAGGAGGTGTTAAAAAGAGGGAAAGTCATTTTTTGTGGCAGTCATTTTTTTCTCTTGGTTGGATTCCTAGTTAAGCAAAAGATCTAATCCTGTCACTAATTCATTTTCTTTTCTGTGATGGCACTCTGCCGTAAGATATGACTGTAGATGCTGTAGAAGTTTGCAAATTACAACGTGGGATGGGGTTTTTCACCCCAGCCATTACTCAATTTTTCTGTGTTTCGGGGAGTGGGGGATTTTTATTTCCAGTATAAATTTAATAGAAATCTGTGACCTTAGATATAACATTAAATGTGTTTTACAAGGCAGCTCTTTGTAGGGGAAGTCTTCAAGGTATTTTCTTCTGTATCTTCATAGCTGCCATGTTGAGGTGTGAACATCTTTTGGTTTTCACTGAAAAATTAGTTTGCAATCAGTGAAATCTACCATTGTCTGGTTAGCATATGGCAGTTTAGGTCTCCCTCCACATCTCAGGCTATGGTTTTAGTGCATGCATTAAATTATTAAATAATAATGTACTCCTGCGCTTCTGTATCTTCACAGCTGCCATGTTGAGGTGTGAACATCTTTGGTTTTCACTGAAAAATTGGTTTGCAATCAGTGAAATCTACCATTCTCTGGTTAGCATATGGCAGTTTAGGTCTCCCTCCACATTTCAGGCTATTGTTTTAGTGCATAATAGCATGCATTAAATAATAATGTACTCCTGCTGCAATAGTCACATTCCCTGATTAGAAGTAAGCAGGTGGACTGACAAGTCAATCATTTATCTGGATCATAAACACTCTTTTATCATATTAAGGTAATGTTACCTAAATAGAGATTGTCTATTAGCCTGCCTGAAGCACTGTTAGATAGAATCCATTCATATCATTAATGCCTGTTCTTCAGTGTACAGCACAATGTCATCCAAGAGCTTCAGGCAGATAATTTTACTCATGATGGCTGGAAATGTAGACCTGTTTCTGGCTGGTTTATGTTTTCTGTCAGTAGATGTGACCAATAGGGGACCAAAATGGAAAGGAATTCAAATGTGTTTCAAAGACTGGCCTGGTTTTGTTCTTTGCTGAGGTGAATGAGCATTTGTGGTGCCTTCAAGCTTGTCTTAAGCCAGGAGAGCATCTTGGATATCTCATCCTTCCAGCAGAGGCATTCATGTGGCAGCAGAGAGATATGTTTCACTTAACAAAGAATAACCCCTTGCATTAGACCTTTGCTTTGGTTCAGAACTTTCCTGACAGCTTTGACAGAAGGCAAATGTATCCCTTAACTCCTTTTCAGTCTCAGACAGACAGCTTTCATTTAGTCCCACAGTACCCCAGCTCAAGACATGGGCTGCTTTGGGAGAGCCATTGCTTTTAGGTTTTTCTTTTTCTACCTCTGTGGAGATAGAGCTCTCAGAGTTTCTTGGCTTTACTGACTCACCTCAACTTCCTGTGCCCCAGACCAGAGTGATTTCACTAAATAAAGGTTTGATTCACAAGTATTGTGGTCAGACTTAAAAGTTCCAAGCAAAACAAATACAAAGTGTACAGTACAAGCCTGTGCTTGATAATGGGACAAGCAAATAGGAAATGAAAGGCATATGATAGTCACTAGGATACTGCTGAGAAACCACTTTCCAGCTTGTAAAGATAGCTGTGTTTAAAACAGCCCTCTTACGTGTTCTTCATTGCAGCACTCTTTTTGCCACGTGCCATTGAGGTGACTGATGTTTTCAACAGGTTAGTGATTTGTGGTTTTGCAGATACTGTGTGCATTCACATATTTCTCATTCTTTGTTTCAGAGATGGTGATGTTGCTGGAATGGTGGTCAGGCACCGATTGCACCCTTTACACTGACCCAGAGAGTTACCACAAGTACGGGAAGGAGAATGCCATCGTAATCCTTAATCACAACTTTGAAATTGACTTTCTCTGTGGTTGGAACTTTTGTGAGAGATTTGGGGTCTTGGGGGTGAGTTACTTAGTATTTAAGATAAATCTCCTTGGATGTGGAAAAAACTACTAAATAAGTTAATTGTGTTTTCGAATTAACAGATTTGTGCTCGAATTTCACTCGGCTGCTGTCCAGAATTAGAGGTCAACCTAAAGCAGTGCAGTGCAAGTGTGTGGAGACAGGATGGCTCAGGAAACCACAGCTATTTTAAAAGCATTGCAGTTAAAGCTGATGAAGGAAATATTTTCTTAACCTGTGGAGATCATTATAGTTATTTCTCTCTGTGTGTTTACTGAGTAACTATTGCAGTTCATTATGCTGCATAAAGATGAGCTATCCTGTGATTCTTTCCCAGTTTAATTACAGAATTTATTTGCTTTTTGCAGTGTAGCCTTACAAATCCACAGCTAGAGTTTGAGTGATGTAGCCTGCCTCTTTCAGAATGAAAGAGCAGCCATCTTACGTGAAAGCAGTGACCAGCTAAAAGCAGTAAGAGATGGGGGAGGAATGAGTTATTCATGGTTGAATACACTGCTGCATTAAGCTAGCAGTTCATGTGTGTTTGTTTCCAGGCTTGCGTTTTTGTTTCCCCAGTCAGATCATGGGGATAATTGAAGCCCTCATCTAGATCAGCCTGAGTTCATTCTGTGATGGTGACAATATTCTCTATCTGTAAAGGATTTAGATAAGGGTTCCTCCTTCACAAGGAAGAAAACCAGTGACTCATTTTGGCAGTGTTCTTCAGCATCCTAGCTTTGATACTGGCCTCTGGCAAAAGTCCTGACCTTGGATTGTGTGAACCTCTGAATTTTGTGGCCTTCCCTTTGGACTCCTTGCATTTTCTGGACATTTAGGCACCACTCCTGTCACTCTCAAATTAGAATAATGGCAATCTGTTTAACAAAAACGTAAAAAGGGGCCTTAAAAGTGGAGGAAAGTGAACTGAAGCATTACAGGCTCTTTGTGTAACCAGAATGGCTGTTGGCTTCTGAGTAACTTCTGCCATGTTATCGAGGACTTGAGTACAGAGCTGCAGGATGGCATGGAACAGTAGGAAACGTAGGGAAACCTGTTCCTGTTGGGCAAATGTAAGTGCAAAAAAACAGTGGTGCTGAAGTCAGTCTGTCTGATTTTGTAAGCCAAATGGCCTCAGTTCTCTAAATAAACTGTGTTTTTGAGAAGGTCAGGTGCTTCTTCAGAAAACACCAATGTAGAAAATTGAGGGATTGCTTCTCTACAAAGTAATAGGGGCCTACAAGGTCAAAAATACCTTATTTTACATTGTTGCTGTGTAGCTGAATGGAATTTTACTAGCTGCAATTTTTTAATAGTTTTCCAAGTTAATAAGGATTCTGTGTTAATTTTTATGTTGTTACCTACACATAGGGAAACCACAGTGTAGAAACAACTGTTGAAATTACTGTGCTGCACTTACTGAAAATATTTTTTCCTTTTTTGGCTGCTTGTATATATTACTCAGTTTGCATTTATGCTAATCTTAGGATTATTTTAGAAACTGATGTATGCTGGTTGTGGTTTTGCCTTTTTTTTTTTAACAGCAAAACAAAACAAATAAACATAAGACCCAAACAACCAACACAAAACTATTTCAGTCCTGAGTAATGTACTGTGGTTTTACTTCCCAGAAACTGTTCCTGGAAGAAATAGTTTCCACATGCTCTCATTTGCATTGATCTTTTTACTTAACAAAGCAATGCATTTCCCTCTTGAGGCAACCAGCCCAAGCTCTTCTTAAGCCATGTTAAAAAAAAACCATAAAGAATGGAAAATGCCAAACAGTGATTTTCCTGATGGAATTGCCTATACTGCTATACTGGTACTTGTCTTTGGCCAATGCAAGGGTTGTGCAGTGATGAGGAGTGTAGGTTGGTTTGACTTGTGCTGCCTTACATGAGCTGCTACTGTGCAAAATTTCAGGGCACAGTGTGGCAGCACAGTTAGGAACGTAAGAACCTTCAGGGCTGATGTTGAATTGTAAGAATTGTAGGAAAGAGGCAAGTGCACAGGGGCTTTCTGGGGTGTCGCAGCCTCCAGTGTTTTGTAGGTCAGGGACTTTGTGAGACAGTGGATGTTTATATTTAATGATGTTTAATTGTATGCTCTGTGAAGTTTCTATGCAAACTTTGGGTATCAGCCAACACCTTACTTAGCTGATCTCATGTCCGCTGCTGCTGGAAAGGAAATCTTGCACGTGCAGTCTCCTGCATCTGTTATGATGCTTGTCTGCCCTATTTAGCCATGTTTTAGAAACTCTCTGTCTCTTTTCTGCCTTAACTAATCCAGTGAAGAGAGAAGAAATGGCTGGGGAGGGGGAAGAGGGAAAAGGTGAAGACAGTTTAGAGCCAAAGGAGTTGGAACTGACTGTGCTTGGCTTCAGCAGGCAGAATGGCTTTGTTGTGACACTCAGCTGTGCCCTGGGGCTTTGGCAGACAACAGTAACACTCTTAAGAGTGTCACAAGCATGTTCAAGCTGTATTTTGCAGCTTGAACATTTCTTTAATGAAGCCCTTAAATAATTGCTGTAATTTTTTGCTTGGTTGTTATGGTGTAACCATCCAGGCAGCTGAACACCACACAGCCACTTGTGTACTCCCTGCCCCCTGTGGGAAGGGGGAGAGAACTGGGGGAGGAAGGAGGAGGAATTTGGGGTTGAGGTAGAGTCTAATAGGACAGAAAAGGAAGGGGCAAAAATAATGATAATGATGGTGATAAAATAATCAAGAGTGTATGAAACAAATTATTCACAATGGAGTTGTTCACCACAGTCCAGTTCCTTAGCAGCAGTCCCCAGCCTCTTTGCCCCTAGTTTATATACTGAGCATAACATCAAATGGTATGGAATATCCCTTTGGCTAGTTTGAGTCAGCTGTCCTGCTGTGTCTCTTCCCAGCTCTTTGTGTCTGCCAGTCTGCTTGCTGGCAGGGTGGTGAGAAGCCAGAGTCCTTGATGTAGTGTAAACACTGCTTAGCAACAACTAAAACATCCGTGTGTTATCAACATTATTCTCCTCATAAGCACAAAGCACAGCTACTGGGAAGAAAATTAGCTCTGTTCCAACTGAAATCCAGACATTGTTTTTGTTTATTTGAAAACAATATTAAACATCCTTAAGCCTGTCTTGTCCCTTTGGTTCCCAAATTAAAAAAAAGTCTTTCCTTTTTGAAAACTGCCTTTCCTGGTCTTTGTTGAAACATTCAATCTGTGCATTTGTCTGCCTCTTCTCTTGTCTCTCTTCTCCTGGACTGGCTTTCTCTTTATAACCAAATTGCCATAATCCCTACATTTTATAAAATTCTTATCAGTGTATCTTTGATTTATCAATGTGCTTTAGTGTTTGTGGTTTTTTGCTGTTTCTGGTAGATGGAGTGGGAGTTGCATAGTCTCTTGCCAGTTTATAGGTTTGTGAATCTGAGTGCCCTCCTAAGGATTCAGACCTTGGCACATGTATGGCATGAGGTTCTCTGCTCTCTGCTGTGTCCTTCCCTTTTCCTGGCTGTGACATTCCAGTCCTAGGATTTACCTTATTAGTAGGGACAGCCTAGCTACTGTGTCCCTATTCAAGTGCATTAGTAGCCCTTAATTTCCTCAAGGTGTGTTGCTAGTCATCCTCTTGAAAAAAGACCCAGTGGACACCAGAACTCAAAATCAGGACATGTGCAAATTCTGAGGGAGCTGTTATTCAGGATCTTACCAAAAGCACTTTAATATGCTCCCTGCCAGGATTCACTACTTTGTTGTTTGCTCTGATAAAGTGGCAATAAAATAGCTTTGTTAGTAATTTTAACAGCCATTTGTCTGAGATGAAACCATTAATATTGGCAAAAATTGCCAGTGCATTAAAGCTAAAACCTGCTGGTTTTAACCTTAACTACCTGCTCCATATGTCAGGAAACTTAATTTTATTTGGGAGTTGCTTATGTTGAAGCTTGCTGCTTAAAAAGCTGAGTGTGGCCTTAAATGTAGGTGTGAGAAGATACTTTTTTATATTATTGTATGAGATTAATAGGTGTGTGGGCACAATAAGTTGTTTGTGCATTTTAATATATTCATGCATTTTTAAACTAGATTTGAAGTGGTAAAGGGAAAAAATCAGGCTTACTAGTGGTAAGTCTCTGTAACCTTTCCAACATGGAGAAGTTTTATTCAATATGAAGCATGAGGAATTAGGAGCAAAACTAAATTTCTGGAATGATGGCTTTGAGTGACTAAAGAAACATACCTTGCCATCATGATGTCCCAGAGAGTATAATATGAAGGAGTGATAGATTTCAAAAGTAGGGCAGTTGGAATCATTGAAAGTATGTCAGTGCTGAAGGCAGCCTGCAGAGCAAATAACTTACAAGGCAGATTGCTGTTGCTAATGGCTTGCACTACAATGAACTTGTTTTAAAACTCAGGGACAAGTTTTGTTGGACACTTTCAGCTTTCACATTGATTTTGTGCTGTTTGTTGTGTTCTTTAAACAAGCGGTGTTGAATAACTGAGGCTGGACATGTAGAATAAAGATTTTCTTTCTTTGACAGTATAGTTGGGCAAATGCACTGAAGCAAGTTTATAAAAATACCCTTTTTTAAGGTGATGTTGGTGCAGTCATTCACAAACGGAGAATTTCATGGGTATTTCATTTGAATAAACTCGGACAAAATAAATTAATCTGGATTACAAAATAAATTAATCTGGATTAAAATGTTAGTACTGTATATAAGTTGTCCCAGTCCAGCAGTAATTTCATTAAACATCTGTTGAAATTACACAGTTTTGAGCACTGAAAATGTTTGACTTCCTTCAAGAAGGCCACTTACATGGAATAAATCAGTACTTTTTAATTATTTTTTTTCTTGTTGAACAAGCTGAATTTGAAGATTAGAGGCAGCTGTCACATGTTTACCAAAGCACTTTACTAAAGGAAAAGTTAGTGACTGAAGTCAACTGGAGTTACATTTTTTTTCCCCCAGGTATTTTCACGGGAGCTGTGCATGGGTAGATGGCTGAAACAGAACAGCTCTAGTTACAGCTCTAGTTACTGTAGGAGGGATCACAGAATCACAGAACATGCAGGGTTGGAAAGAACCCACAAGGATCGCCCCTCCCTTGCCTGGCTGGTGATGCTGTGCCTGATGCCCCCAGGACAGGGTTGGTCCTCCTGGCTGCCAGGGCACTGCTGAGTCAGGTTCAACTCGCCATTAGCCAGGACCCCCAAGTCCCTTTCTGTGGCACTGCTCTCCAGCATTTCATTGCCCAGTGTACAGGGCAGCTTCCAAGGGGAGGCCTGATGTATTCCCCCCTCACAAGAACAGCCTTGCCAGGATAATGCACTGAGGAGTTTCCTTCGTCTAATCAGTTCTGTCGTTAGCCTTCCTTCTACTGCTAGAACAGATGGGTGCATAAAATAGTGTGAGGTGATTTAGTTTATTTTTGTGTGCTTCTAAGGAGTCATACTCACACATGTCTAAAAGAGCACTTTCAAATTTTAAAACTGCATCAGCACAGTGAAAGAATAAGAACGTGCCCCAGGGAAGAGTTGAGACATCTGTTGTGCTTTCATAGTTGTACCTGTGCTACAGAACACATACTCGCAGTATCATTTCTTGGTTTCACTGGGCCAGGTGCAACTTTTCTCCTGCCTCTTGTGTCACTCATGCTCCTTTTAAAGTATGTAAAGTATTAGAAAATAGGTATGGTGAAATAATAATTTTGGCTAGCTTTTTGGACCATAATTTCTGCTCTTTGAAGTCTGCAGGAGGGCTATTACATTGTCTCTTCTGACGCTGTGTTCTGGGGGCCTTGTGCACTCTATGCAGAGTACACTTAGGTTAGTTTATGGTAGTTCTTATGACACTGAACACTTACTGTAAATAAACTTTAAGAGCATGTTGAGATTTCTTCTCTTTTGCAGGGTGGGGGTGGTGGTGATAGGGCTGCTGTTGGCGTCCTTGTGCAGGAAAGTGGTAAAAGGAGAGCCTGTTTTTCTGTGCCCACTTTGGGGAGCTGGAAGAGGAGGCTGGGCTCAGTGTCGCTGCTGTCCTGTAATGGGGACCGGTGTACAAGGTGGCTTGAAACTGGAATTACTGCAGCTGCTTCTCAGGGGAGTAGTGGGCTTGGAGCCCTGATCTGAGTCCATCACTGAAATTAGGAAATTCTCAAATGCTCAAGAGGGAGCACTATTATTGCAAACATTAAATCATTTGATAGAGATGGTTCCCACATTCTTAGAAATTGAATTCTCTGCCATCCTCTGTTCTGCTTCTGTGTAACAGTTGCTGGTGAAGCTGTGTGATGTACACTTGCCTTCCAGTCTTACAAGTTTTCAGATAGCTGAATTATTTAAGGTATTTTTCTTCTCAAAGAAGGAGAGCAGATGAAAAAAATGAGCTGAGATGAAGAATTAGGTCAAGTCTCTTCCTGTAGCAGCCAAATGAATGGGAGTGACTAAAAAAATAGAATTAAATATTTTCTGATGATGGTAACTTCTACCAATAAGTAATTTCTAGTCAAATACAGTATCCTGGAATCCATCTGCAGAGCTTTTTGATGGGCTAGCTTATAATAATATCATGGTCAGAAACTGGACTTAATTACTCCCATCTTTCTTTGAAGGAAATGTCACTGTTTGTTTAAGAAATGCTGAAGCAACAGTTTCTTTATGAACACAACACACACATGTGCCATTTTATTGATTAAATAACCAAGTGAAATGTAGGACAGCTCATCAGGGTAGGCTGGCTTGAAAGGCAAGAAAGGAGCACATGGAATCAGTTCTCCTGCCCTGGGGGATGTCAGTGTGAGATTATCATAGAGTTAAATTCTGGAGTAGGATTAATTTACAGAGCATGCTCAATGCTTGATAAATCACAGACTTCCTGTTGTGTGTCTGGGCTAGTCACTTCAGTGTCTGTCACACCTGTGAGACAGGAAGAGTGCTTTTTTTATTTTTTCCTGCTCCAGAAGCATGCTTTGAAGAGGAACTCGCTACCCTTTCATAAACAGAACTGAACACAAATTAAGTATTCTTATTGCTGCTGTTGTTTCTAGTGTTTAAGGTTTCTTCTGTTGCTAAGCCATGTGTGCATAGCATCAGTATGTTGTGCTACAGTGGCTCTGCTTTTTGTTTTCCTCTCTCTCTTTATTTTTTTTTCCCTCCATGTTGAGCTATATAGTTTCAATATAGTTTCAAGGTATCTTAAAGGAACTTGAGCTGTCACTGCCAGGATCTGATTGAATTAAGAATTTTGATTGATACTGCTCAGGTAATTCGCGTAGATTCCTCCATGTTTGAAGGAGTTTGGCTTCTCTTTTGGGTTTCAGTGTTTGGGTAGGAGAGAGCAGCACGCACTCATATGTATTTATTCTAGAAGTCTTCCATGCAGATACCTGAGATTAGATTTGACTGTTCTGTCATATGAGAAAAAAACTTATTTTTCTTTGTTTTGCTTTTACGCTGGTGTTTAAACTGGGTCTGATCAATATAAATGTATATCTTTGTGTCTAACTATGCAAGTCTCATACCCACCTTCCACTCTTAAGTGGTTTAACTCTGTTTGACTTGCTTTGATTCTGTCTTGCAGAGTTCCAAAGTGCTTGCAAAGAAGGAGCTCTCCTACATGCCCATCATTGGCTGGATGTGGTATTTCCTAGAGATCGTCTTCTGCAAGCGCAAGTGGGAGGAAGATCGGAAAACTGTCGTACAAAAGTTGCTCAATCTCCGGGACTACCCTGAAAACTTTTGGGTGAGTGATGCTTAACAAATGGAGTGTGAGGTAGCAGGAATGAGGCACAGGCAATTTGTGATGCTTACCAGGTTGTTCCTGAGACTTTTGATTCATTACCTTCCTGGGGAGTATCAGGAAACTACTCCCAGCTGAATTCTTTCTGGAGTTTCCCATGTACTGCGTTGTCTGTTTCCTTCTCTGTAGTATGGAGCCCTGCAGATACTACTGCAAAAATACCTGCACTGTGATCCACTCAGAATTTTGTGGTTCTCTAATTACAGGTGCTGGATAGGGGTAGATGCAGGGGTCCATGGCTGTGTTACAGATGCATGTGACAATTTTGTGTTGAAGTACATCAGCTATATTTGTTACCTAAGCTCTCCTTTCACCTTAGATTGCAGAGTTAATATACTAGAGTTTTCTCCTTCCCTATGATTCTGCCACTCCTGTGAAGGTGTTTGGTCAGACATGACCCAGTAGAAGTGGAAGCCACCTGGTCAGAGAAGTGTCCTGATGTAGCCATTGTCTCTGCTCCAGGGAGAGGATTGGTGTCACTTTTCAGTAACAAGAAAGTCTTACTTTTTGCATCACCATATTTTTTAAGTATTCACCCTGCCTGGAATTTTTCTGACAATGAAAAGCCTTTGAATTTTTTCTCTTCTCAGAAATCATAAAAATTGCAGTTCTTCTGAGCTAGTGATGGCAAGAGTGCCATTTAGTTAAAGAAATGGAATCTTAAGCAGCATCCCTGGGGCCTACAGAAACTATTGCTGTTGCCTCGTGAAGATGTATATGCTGTATTTCTCATGCTCTGAAACAAATTTATTTTGTTAATTGTCATTGATTTTAAATGAGTGCTAAGCAATCAAAACTAATCTCTCTGCTTCAATGTTTAAGTGACTTCCAGGCAGGAAGCTGTCTAGCAAAGGGGTGATTCTGGGGCTTTAGTTTCAGTTTCTCTCCAGAGATTTGCCTGTGCTCTGTGACTTTTCTATACACGTAGGCAGCTCGACTCTAATCACTGAGCACAAGCCACCACCATCCTGTAGATACTCCTGTAGAGGCATTGCTAAAAAGGAGTATACCTATGTAAGGGAGATAATTGTTAATGTACACCTGGGGTTATTGCAGTGTGGAGTTTTGGTTTGCTTTTGTATGACGACATAATGTCAAAAGGCACAAGAGTAGCACCTTGGAAAGTAGAGAAGACAAAGCATGCTAAATGAACTAGAGAGGCTTTCTCATCAGTTTCTCTGTGAGTCATTAATCTGAATAATATTATGCATGCAATACACGAGTAAAAGCACTCTTGGATGAGCTAGAACTGAAGCTGGCTGCTTGGCTCGTTTCTTCAATATCTCTGTCTGTTTTGGCTCAATTTTTGCTGTGGGTTATAAGGACTTACTTTGTGTGATTTGGCAGTGCTCTCTGATGTGTTAGTTTGCATTCATGCTTGGCAGAAAGCAGATGGGCAAGTGGTAAATCTCCAGAGATCTGTGTGCTCTCCCCTGCCTGCCAGTGGCAAGACTGTAATTATTCATGTCTGAGCATTTCCACTGTATAGTTCATAGGAGATTGAGCCTTTCAGTTGTCCTGCATGAGCTGCCTTACACCTGTTAACAGCTGTCTCATTGGCATCAGAGTTACTGCCTGAAGTTTTCCATGGACCTCAAGTGCCATAGGGAAAGCAAGCAAGGTTGGAGTGAGGGCGGACAAGCTGGACGCTGAAGCATTTCCTAGAAATGTGTTTAGTTTAGACACTTAGCAAGTTTTAGATGCCATGATATTTGAACACTTTATCATCAGAGAGAGATGTGCAACAGGAGTATGTTTTGAGTGTTTTGTAACAGCTTATGAAGATGGAGTGACTCAGAGAAACCACGTCATTCTGATGGCAAGTAGCAGAGCAGATGTTAAAGCCTAAAGGCTGAGATTCAAACTGGATGGCAAGTTGGAGGAGTGTTTGGATTTGGGGTTTTGGGGTTGTTATTTTGGTTTGTTGGGATTTGCTACCTCAGTCAATTACATAAATGTGTATTGATTACATTACATAAATTACATAAATGTGTATGTGGCTACACCTGTCCCAGCTAGCACTGTTAATTTGGGTTGTGCTGGTGGAAATTCGAGAGAACTCTGCTCAGTCAGCAGAAGACCTGAGCTTCTGTCTAACTGTAATTCTGTCTTGGTTTTAGTTCCTGATTCACTGTGAGGGCACAAGGTTCACAGAGCAGAAGCACCAGATCAGCATGCAGGTAGCTGAAGCCAAAGGCTTGCCCAAGCTCAAGTACCACCTCCTGCCACGAACGAAGGGATTTGCTGTCACCGTGCAGTGTTTGAGAAATGTAGGTAAGGAAAGTCACAGGGGACAATGCTAAATGGTTATTTCCTCTAACTGCTGACAGTTTGCCATGCTTTTCTTTTCCCTGTAACGTGTCCTAGCAGAAAAATCCTGGGATGCTTTCAGAAGCATCTGTTTTTTTCATTAGACTCTGGTTTTAATAACAAAGTCCTGAATCAGTTTGTGGGGTTGGTTTCAGTTGGGGTTTTTTGTTTTGTTCTTTTTGTGGGGGTTTTTTGTTTGTGTTTTAATTTATTATTGTTATGTTTTGTTAACTGTGACTCTGTGTTGAGGAATCTCAGTTGCATATTTTGTATCAGCTGGTGCATATGTTGTTGCATATTTTGTACGTATTGCCAAAGAATAATATTTCTTAGTATTTGCTAAGCAATTCTATTCTAAATGAAGCAAATGCATCTGTAGAGAGTCTGAGGCAGTGTGTCTTAAAATAATTCCTTGTGGTAAATGACTACCTCAAATAATGCAATTTTAAAATAAAAAAAAATTCTACTTTAAATTTCTGTATAGATTTGCTCTTTAGAGTTTCTTAATGGAGCTGAGGAAGGGGAGTAGGCCTCGACTGAAGATACATGTAGGTGAAATTCATAAATAGTTTCTCCATTATAGAACATGAGTAAGTTTTTCTTTATTAATTTTATTTTGAGCTCCTCATTTATTTCTGGTTACTTGCATTTGCCAACATTAAAGTGACATCATTTTGCACATGTTGCCTTTGAAGTGATATTCTCTGACTAATACTATCTATCAAATTCCTTGTCTAGTACTACTGTCAGTCTTCTGCTGTTTTCTTCACGGGCAAAGGAAAGACAGGGCTAAACTGTAGTGTTACAGGGTCTTTGGGATCTGGTAGATCTGTGTGTTAGATGGCTATGTGTGAGAAAGAAAAAAGTGGTTTCTGGATTAGAAGAAAATGTTCCAGCTTGACTGAAGTTTATGTCAGAACTTCTTTTGTCCTTGAAGACGTGTTTTCACGTGGCATATCTGGGATAGCTGCTGTAAGAAAAGCTTCCCAGTCAGCTGGCATGTTATCTCTTGCATTTCTTCTAAATACCCTCTGGCAAGCCAGGTAGATCATAGCACAGTTGTAGCTTCCCAGGCACCCACAACTTTCCGCCCCAAAGATGAATAGCAGAGCTTGGATCCTTTCTGGTCCATGAGGAAGAGGTAAGTTTTGTGAAGCATCCAGCAACCCGCTGAGGAGGGAGCACAGTTTAGCCTTGCCTTTGGAATAAGGGGGACTGTTCTGCTGAGGACAGAACAGGGGGTAGACCAGGTAGATCATAGCACAGTTGTAGCTTCCCAGGCACCCACAACTTTCCAGCCCAAAGATGGATAGCAGAGCTTGAATCCTTTCTGGTCCTCTGAAGAAGAGGTAAGTTATGTGACGCATCCAGCAACCCCTCGAGGAGCACAGTTTAGCCTTGCCGGGGTAGTAAACTTGAGGCACAGAAGAAGGGTTGAGTCAGAACTCTGTGGCCTCTAATGCCCTGAGCTGGGAGTCAGGAACAGGTTATTTTGGTGGTTATTTTGTTCTTTTCACTGCTGTGTGTAATGCAAGCAAAATATGGCATGATGGCGGGCAAGCAGCTGATTGTGGGAAAACATTCCAAAAGGAAACAACTTTAGGAAATCTGAGTGACATAAAAAGTTTTAGGCATTCATGCCACACACTTACACATAACACTTACTAGTACCCTAAATATTTTAAATACTTTCAGAAAAAGAAGACTGAGGCTGCTAGATTACTTATATTATGGGGAGTAGACTATATGTCCCTGCCTCAATCCAGAAGCTGTAACTTGCTGGATGGAGCAGTGTAAAGCCAGGAAGTAGGCACTAGTTCCCTGTGAGGGTTTGAGGAGAAGTAGGGTTATAACTTCTCATACACAGTTTCAGCAAAAACTTGAGCTTGAAAACCCAACCAACAAACCTCTGAGAGTTTGGTGACCCCAGACTGGTGTTGCAGGTTCTTCTAGGTTTGTTGCTTTACTTGCCTTGTTATTTTTTTCAATGAGAGGGAGATAGAAAGGTTACTGCTTGGGTTGCTATATGTTTCTATCCTATAGAGACAAGGGGTTCATGTAAAGAGCATCTGAAAACAATGTCTTATTTTTTAGAACTCCTTGTAGCATTATTATGTACAGATAATAAATCCATGCAGATTTTTTGAATAGAGAATGTGGTGACAGTCTCTTTTGACAGTCCATGATCTGGAAATGTATTACTGTCTAGAAATTAGGTCATACCCCTGTGCATCTCTAAAAGTGAGAGACTGGTGCTGAGCTGCCTGAGCCCATTTTGGGCTCTGGCATTTAGGCTGATGCACTTTCTGTTCTCCCACAAGGGTGGTGGGCCTGGCTGGAGTGCCTGGCTAAGGGACGCAGCTGCAGCACGACACAGTGGAGCCAGGTCACAGGTTTGGGACCAGTTCATAGCTGGGTGTGACAGAGCTCCTGTCCCATTTTTTTCCTCCTTTCTGACAAGGTTGTGATTCAGCTTGCCAGAGGTTGTAGTACTGTGGGATGGGTAGATGCTGGTTTCTCTGGCTGCAGATGTAATTCACCCATGGCAGCAGAGATCACAGGCTGGTCCTCTTCAAAACTTTGTATGAAGTCTTAATGGTACCTGCTGCAGTCACTCTGGAAAGAGTTCAGAAGTAGTTCTGCAGTAGCTGGAAACAGACATTGGTGACATCAGTTTGGCAAGCCCACCTGTTGTGAAAAACTTAGTTTTGGAAGGTATTTATTTAATGTGCATATATTGGAATCTGCCTCCATGCCAGTGATGTGATATCTGTCAATATAAACAAATGTATTTGGATAAAAATAACTTTCATGCAAAATAACAAGTAAAGAACCTTCCCTCCTAACTAATTTCTTTCATTAGTGATGAAAGAACTTCAGAACTTGCTTTCAGAAGTTCAGATCTCCGTACATAATTTGATTCTTAAAGAAATGCTTCTAATATTTTCTGAACTGGTTCTGATACTTTTGTCAGTGACCATTCCTACCAGTATGGTTTTACAGATACAGTCCCCAGGAACTTAATTTCTAGAAGCTGTTCACTTTCTTAATAAATTGCTCTTTGCTACCTGTACTGTTCATGGAAGCAAATGAAAATACAGATCTGTTTCTAAGACATTCATCCATTACTTACAGTAAAAGTAGATGTCTGGCTGTATATCAGGCCATCATATCCTTTCAGCTGCTTTTATTGAGTAAAGACTTGTACTTAAAAATGTACATCATGATGGATTGTAGATAAGACCAAGTCTTGTTGTGTACCTTTTCCTCCAGCTGGGAACTGCTGTCCCAGAGGGACTTCAGGAGAATTCCAGGGTGATATTCTCATGGAGTTTTGGGGTATGACAGTGTTTGGGCACTTTGCAATGACTTTTTTTCCCCCATCTGCTGTATATTCGTCCTGGATTTTTTTTTTCAAGTGAGTTTCTATTCATCATCCAGAGCAAGTAACAAAGTTTGAGAGGATGAGTGGTTCTTCTTCAAGCTGGCTCAATTAATGAAATGTTAAAGGACTGTTTCAAGGTGGTGTCACATCAGCAGCACAGTGAATGCCTCTGTACCTTTCCCTCCCTTTTGCAGTCTTCAGATCATTTTGTGCTCGTATGAAGATGCATGTAGCTATACTCATTGCCTGTACGTTGATTTGTCAGTGGATCATCCTGGCATAATCCACCATGGCTACAAAATAGTGTGTGAAATTCAAGAGGACAGTCAAAGTAACAAAAATCCTCTCTAGATATGTAATCTGAAGATTTTTTTTTTAGGTTGAAGTTAAGAAATGAAATCTTAAATTCTTAAGTACTTAGCTCTCTGTCAGAATGCTATAGACAAAACCCAAAGTTAATGATATGAGAAAAAAGCTGGGGAGAGATTAGAAAACAAAACAAAAAACCCCTAATTTTTTTGACAGAAAGAAAAACTTTAAAATATTTGTGTTTTGTTTTTAATGAAAAAGAGATTCTGAGATATAACTCCTTTAAAAAAATATTTCACAGTTGAAGGCAAACTTTTCAAATGCTGCTTGTATTAGCTTGAGAGTGAGACAGTTGCAGTGTTTTCAACATAATATGGAGGGGTTTTTTCACTGGTTTTAGAACGTGAATTTTCTGGTCTCTTCAGCTTTTGGATGAGAAAATCATGAGATGTCCAATTCTAATTATGCAATTACATAATCCATGTTTAATGATAACCTGTTTCAGTGTGTCACACAGCATGCTAGTGCTTCTTTGACTGTGGATGCTTTCTGGCAAATTTTCATTTCATGCAGCCTTTTTCTTGACACTTTCTTTGTTATTCTTTTCCTGCACTCTCAGAATGAGAGCTGAAATCTTTAGTTATCTTCAGTTATATCTGGATGCCAAAGGTCTGTTTACTCCTGCACATTGCTCTCATTGTCATGGGTTTGGCACTGCTTTGCACCAAAAGATTTCAGTGTGTTACTAAAAGGTACTAGACTGAATATTAAACTGCAGACCAGTTGGAAACTGAAATAGCTTTTTTTTTTCCCCTGGAGAAAAGGAAAGCTCTGTGTAAGACTGTCAGCACATAGAGATGTTACTGTCCATCTCCACAGAAGTTTTTTTCAAAACAGGAGAACTGTCTTCCAATATGTCTCCACAAAAACCCAATTCATAGAAAAACTCAAATGTAGATGCCTTGTAAGAGATGGAAGAAAAAGTGTTGTGTGTGTCATACTTTGCTTTATTGCATCCCTATTGTTGCTAGAATAATCTCATGCTATTAAAGAATAAACTAAGAAGCTTACACTGTATAAACCCAACTGAGCTCTTGTTTTCCTTCAATTACATTGGATTAGTAAATTAGAGTAGATTAGTAAAATCCTTCTACAGTAAGAAGCTTAAAAATGGAGTCAGATAATTGATTTTTAAAAAAGTAATTTCATACTTTTATTTTACAGGGAGAGTAATGTGTTTGAAGTAGATTTTGTCTTGTTTTTAGTTTTGAGTTTGGGCTACGGATCCAACTGTAGTAGGAAAAGAATGGAGTTGTTAGTGAGGGGCAGAGTCATTTTGCACTGACAGGGGCTTGGCCTTTGTTTTCAGGATTTTCTTTCAGCACTGAAGCCAGGCTTCACTGTGAATTCAGTTTTGCAGTAACAAATGATGTGGTGAGTTTCTGGGAGCTGAATGCTGAGACCAAACCATAGTTCTCTCATAGCTACAGAGGTTTCAAAACCAAGAGCAAATCTGTCCTGTGTAATAAGTCCTTCTTAGGTGGGTCAGGAGGTTTCACAATAAAGGTTCACCACAAGCATTTTTATTAATTATTGCAAAACTCTAGAGCAGAAAGCCTAAAATACAACAGGCTACACATGAAAATGCTTCTTAGTCACATTTGTGACAAAAAATAGGAAAGTTTTTTTGCTGTCTTTGCGCTTAGAGTTCATACCATGATGCACAACTGATTCAGTGTTGGGAAAATGAATCATTCTCTGGTAATTTTGTGGCATTAGGAAAATAGTGTATCTAAGGATGTATTCAAATAAACTTTTTTGCAGCACTTCATGTGGTTCTAAACAGTGAATGCTTTTTCTGTAGCAACTGCTTGTTACTGCTCTTTTAGTTTATCTGCCATCAGCCTTTGCAAATGGTTTTACTGTTCCTATCCAGTCCTGAGCTGCACAGTTTTCTCAGTGCTGGAAGTTTGGCTGCAGTTTTGTTCAGCAGAACTTCCATGTTCTGTTCCTCATATCTGTATGTCTTCATAGCACAGCCAGCTCACACAAGGTGTGGAGTGTCCTTCTCTCTCTGTCTCTGCCCTAGAGGAAGGGCCTGAGTTACCGAACAATGGGCATGACCCTGGGGCCATTCGTGGCTGCATTAAGACCTCCTGCTGCAGGAGATCTCTCACACACACTTTACCTGTTCTTAGTCAAAGGGTGTATATTGTTCATTGTTTATAAAATGTGTATCTGCCTAGTTGTTGCCTCACATTTAGGGGCAGTTGTTGATTCCCAGTGAGCTGAAATAGGTAACAGTTCTGCAACCATTTGACTCCTAGGAAGTCCTAGGTGTATTCCGTCAGAAGCTGTCATACTGCACCTGATGAGGAAGGAGGCAAGGGTGGATGGAGAGCAAACCTTTCCATTCTGCTGGTGCAGTTCCTGAAAGAGTCACTGGTTATTTGGCTTCTGAAAACCTGCATGTTGAAAAATTCCATTGTCATTTTTACCTTGGTGACAGCTCAAACTGTGGTGCTATTGCTGATGACTTACTTAAATATTCTCTTTGTCTGAGAATTACTTATTTCTATTGTATTACTACAGTAAACACATAACCTGTTTTTCTTCTTGCAGTTTCTGCAGTCTATGATTCTACCCTTAATTTTAGAAATAATGAAAATCCAACATTGCTGGGAGTTCTAAATGGAAAGAAATATCATGCAGATTTATATGTAAGGCAAGTAATCCGTATTTTAATTCCTTTTAAGCAGGAGTATGTACTTGAAATCACACTTGGTCAAATAAGGGAATATTTTCAAGTGGATAAGAGAAAAGCAAGATCTCTACCAACCTGGCTTCACAGAACTTCAGATAAAAATTCATATGGGTTGGGTAGTGTTTCTGGTAAAGTTCTGTGATTATAACTATGTGAGGAGCCCATAAATGTCTACAGAACTTTTTGTTTATTATTTTTTACTCATTTGTGTGTCTGTTAGCTCAGCAGCAGCACTGGGGCCTCTTTTCACTCATTTGTGCAGAATACCAAACCCAATCTAAATGTTCAGGTGGAGTTGCTTTATACCTGTCTCTGGCACAGGAGTTCCAGAGATAGTTCCAGTTCCTCTTGTGGGGGTCAGGCTCAGGGCTTTCCCACCTGGTGGTGTTGCTGTTGTTCTGTTTGACAGCTGTCCCCTCCCTACCCCTAGCAGGGGGTTGTTTAATGAAAAAAACATTACCTGGATTTCTTTTCATTAAGGTTTCCATGAATTACGAATACCCTAATGGCTTCCCATGATGTTAATGGGAAAGAGCCAATTCCCAGGTGAGGTTCTACCAGCAGCACTTGTGCTACAGGCACTCAGGGCATGTGATGATGTAGGGTTGGAGCATAAGAGCCTAAAAGTGATGCTGCAAGTGATCAGGAGTTCATCATAATCCCTTAAGAGCTATTGTGGACCAGCAAGCTGGTCCAGTTACTTTGTCCTGGATAGAAATATGAAGTGGAATAGGGTGACCTCTGCTTTCTACTTCTCCTTTTCTGCCTGTTTGAAAAAGTATTTTTTTCAGAGCTGTTTTTGTCCAAGAGTAAAAGGATTCTCTTGATTCCTCTTCCCACGTGGTAGTACTTTGTCCTGGATAGAAATATGAAGTGGAATAGGGTGACCTCTGCTTTCTACTTCTCCTTTTCTGCCTGTTTGAAAAAGTATTTTTTTCAGAGCTGTTTTTGTCCAAGAGTAAAAGGAAAGTTTCTCTTGATTCCTCTTCCCACGTGGTACTCAGGCTGGTGTCCTCATGTTTGGTGTACATGGCCTGACTGGATGGCATTCACAGAGCCCTGCCTGTGGATGTCAGCTCCAGCAGAATAGAGGGGTTCCTCTTGCTGTGTCTCCCTTTGCACAATTCCTGCCTGCTGCAAGTCAGTCTGGCATAGGCATGGAAATTGCTTTTCACAGCTCATCCTGAAAAGCTGTTACAGGCAGGGTAAACCTGGTGGCTAAATTTGTTTTGGCAATTAGTTGGGGACTATCACGGATTTCTTCAAAATCTGTATTTGCTTGTTGAAGGGCTGTAGATCTTGCACAAGATAAAAAAGGTAGAAAATGTGGTGTGTCTTCTGTCAGATAATCTGTCTGTATAATGCAAGTCCTGTTCATGAAAGTCAAAGTATTTAACACTCTTCAATTTCTCTTGTTTACCATTGGCAGGCGGATTCCACTAGAGGAAGTCCCAGAAGATGAGCAGGAATGTTCTACCTGGCTCCACAAACTATATCAAGAAAAGGTTGGATTTTTTTGTCAAGACAGCACTTACTTATGAGTCAGTAGTGCTGGGTTATTTATAGTGCTAGTAAACCTATACACAGTGTGCATGTGTAGTGTCCTAATTTGGAGGTTTGGGGTGAGTTGGTTTGTTTGGCTTTCAGGGTAAGTGCTCTGTTTCTCTACATACAAACTAGATCCTGTGCTGCCAGTCATGATTGCTTTTGTTTGGTACATAGAGCAACAGGAAGAAAGTTTAAACAAGCCTTTCTAGAGCAGTTTTAAGCCTCTTCTTTAGAAAGTCGCATAAAGATACAAAAATTGAAATTGTCTTACTGCCTTCTGATTGGCAGAAAGAGCCCCTTCTTCTAGAAGACACCTTCCAAATCAAGAAGCAATTTGTGGGCTAAATAAGTATATTCTTTAGTGTATTAAAATTTTTGTCCCTTGTCCCTGCCTTTTTTACCAAGACAGACATCCAGCATTAAAAGAACAGGCTGATAAATTGTTTTCACACTGTGGATTTAGAAGGCATGCATATAAGATTCCTAATTTCATAGGATTGGGAGAGAATAATAACGATTGTGTTTGTAGATGCCCAGTGGTTTGGGGTTTTTTCCTTTTTTTTCTTTGCAAATGCTTTCATATGAATCCTTCATCTTTCAGAATCTGTTTCTTCTGGGCTGTTTTTATGAATGTTGGAGATAGTTGCTGGGAGATGTGCTTTTTGAATGCAGGCAGCACTCCCATTTCAGTCAGTGGGAGTCATAGGTATGCACGGCATGAGGGCCTGGCAGCTCACTTTGCTTCAATACCTGGATCAAAGTTATGTATTCAGACTGGAATGCAGTAGTGCTTTGGATTTAGAAATTATAGAATATAGCTGTGCTCTAGTTTCTCTCACTGGGACAGCAAAATTCTGCTGTGCCATTTGTCGTGCTCTTCCCAGGATACCACATGAGCATTTCTGTATCAACAGTGCCCTGGCACTTCTCAGTTTCAAATCATGACTGTTTCTGCTGTAATTCATATCTCTTCTAAGCAGCTTGCATACAGGAATGTGGAAAGTAAATGTGTCTTGAGACCTCACTTGTAGGTCTACTCCCTTTGCCTCTGATCCCCCTTCTCAGAGTTTGTGCCCCTAACACCTGATTGAGGCACAGCCCCCAGCACCTTTGCAGAAAAGCAGGCTGTACCCACGGCCCATGTACATGTGAATGGACCTTTTGCTCAGCATTGCAGAAGTCCACTTGCTGCTAATATGAGTTTGTAGCCCTGTTTCATGTCCCTGAGAACTGTTCAGACATTTGCAAGACAAGAACGTAAGTGTGAATGTGGTGATTGTTTTCCTCAACCCTTTATTGCGTAGTTGAAGTAATTCACTCCAAGATTTTTCTGGTTTTCCCTCTTCGACAAACACTCAGTTGCTTATAGTGCAGAGTGTACCTCTATCCTTCATAATATTATATTGTACAATATATCACAGTATTCTTCATATCTGTTCTTCATGACATCTTCATTTGCTGGTTGGTTAAGTCTCTGGTTTCCTATTTAAGTATAGGAGTGAATTATGCTGTGTTAAATTTTCCATTCTACTAAAATCTTTTTTGTTAATGTGAATGTTTTTGATTAATTAAGGCTGGGGGGAGCTGTTTGTTTGTATTTTGGTTGGGATTTTCAGTGATTATTTTATTTCTTCTCTGAAGGCAGCAGGTTTCTCTTTCTCCAGCTCTTTTACTTTAGTGAAACTCACTTCATTGCAGTCATTCCTGGTTTACTGAAGCCCTTGTCTTTGTAAAATCAGACTGGCAGAATATAGAGCAGGGACAACTTCTTCCAGAGTTCTGAGATGATGAAAGCCCACCTGCAGGGTAAAAATACAATTTTTTTTCACCATTCTGCCCTGCATTTTAAAAAGATAATCAGCTCTTAGTTCAGATAACAAACAGCGGTGCCACCCAGGTGCTGTTTCCAAAAATAAATTCTGTTTCAGGTCATCTTCAGAGTCAGAAAATATTTATGATATAATGTAAAAAATTTATTCAAAGGGCAGTCATTCATTGCAAGATACACACTCATCCCCTGCTTTGTCTGTTTTGGTTGCAGCACCTCACTTACTGTTTCAAAGTAAGACAAGATGTGCATGCTACTGGAAAGCAGAGACCCTATTTTAACACACATTATGGTTCCCTGTGCTGTTGCTTTTTCTCAATAAGGTTAATAATTTTGCAGTAGTTTCTCAAGACCTGCATGCAGTGTGCTGAATTATGCTGTAGTAGCATGATTTAGTGGCTGGAGAGTGCCACAGATACTGAGGTCAAAGCCTGTGCACTCAAGATGATCAGGTTTGCAGAGCTGTAGGAATTAGTAATGAAATCAGCAGTTACTGGACGTGGAGGGACATGGATTTTTTATTATTATTTATTTATTTCCCCATATTGGCATTAGTAAAGGATCGAGAGTCTTTGAGAAAAGCTCATTCCGTTGTTCTTTACCTCCTTGTCTGTTCTCACATACATGTACCTCAGTCTGAGATTCTTCTCTGTGGGAGCCTGTTGTGTTTATGTTCTTGCTACTTGTCACTTCATTTTTTGGCTTAGTCACTGGTACAAATGCATTTTAACAAAGTCCTGCCAGATAAACAGTGGCATTGTGCTGCTGCTCTAAACCAAACACTGTTCTCCTTCCTTTTCCAGGCTTACAGTAAGTACCATCTCCATGTGCTTCTTCCTCACCAGGGGTAGATTTTGTCCTTCCACATATGGGCAGCACTGTATCAGTTAGTTCCAAATTATGACAGAAGTTCAATTTGGGTTGCATCTTTTCTTCTCTTTTTACTTGTTTTATTTTTTTTTAACTGTCATTGCTAGAAAGGCTCCCTTTGACTTTAACAAGGACTGGGTTGAGGATCTTTTTGCCAGGTCTGAAGAGGTGATATTTAATAGTCACAACTCTGCTGGTCCTTTCATGTTTGTTTTCATTTTTACCTCCTTATAGCCTCAGTGCCTGAAGCAGAAGTTTTGCTTGAGAATCTTAATTTTCATTAAAAAGAGAGCAAGCTTCTAATTCTTCTTGCTTGGAAAACATGGCCTGAAAATATATACAGAAATATCCTAGGGAATCAGCAAAGCCTAGCTGAAGTGTACAGAACCCCAGTGTTTGGGAACAAAGAAGATATTTTTGGATCCTCATTCTTTGTGGGCTTCCTCACAAAGGGGCAGCAGCATACCTGTGCTGTCAGACGTCCTGGTGGGAACAGGGAGGAGGAGTCCAGTTAGCCTCTCACAAGGAGATGGATGTTCCCTGGTTTTCCCTCACTGCATTACCCTCCCCCTCACTGTCTGAAGTAACTAAAATGTGGTGGGGGCAATAGAGGGAGCATGTTTCCATGCTGGAATGTGATACCTGCGTGGATGGAATCTATTACAAACTGAAAAGAAGCTCTGTAGGCAGAGGAATTAAAGGAACCTAATGTGAATAAGGTGATTTTGGGCAATGGTGAGTGTGTAATCTATTTAAAGTCTGTCTTGTTGCTGGGTATCATAGGCACCCTCGCAAAAGCTTTCAAGACAGATGAACCCATAGATGTCTTTGCAAGTGAATAAACGTTTTTAAGTGTAAGGAATCATACCTGAAGAGCTGCTCCCCACAACAGTGGGAAACGTGGTGGTGCTGTTTGCCTTGACATTGTTTTGCCTTTTGTATTTTCCATCTGTCTCAAGCCTCTCAATGAGGTGTGGTCAGTGGTTTTGCTGCCCCTCATGCCTGCAGAGCCAACAAAGACAACCCTGCTGTGCGGGTTTCAACGAGCCTGTCCTCTCTGTAGTAGCAGGCCCTCTAATGGCCCTGCCGGCAATAGTCGGGAATTGTTCACATTCCTGGGTAATGCCAGTAGTTGGAAACCTAGCCGTATGTAGTAAATTCAGTTTTCTGATGAGGAGTAGCTCTGTGTTCTAAAGCAGTCCTCACTGCCCTGTGAAGAAAACTTCATACGCTGTGAGCTCTGGTGAAGATGGCTCAGTAGTTGGCCACAGTGATCCCACTGCAATCCAGCTGTCATGAGTAAAACTCTTACAATTTTTGTCATCTCAGTAGAGTGCAGTGCTTTAATTACTGCATAATCCCTTAAAAGCTGAATGTTCATTTTGAAATAGATAAAGTGGTAACAGCATGTAATTGCTGAAGTTGCTATCAAATAAGTAAAGAATTGTTTGTGTCAGCTGGAGTGTAAGTGTAAAATCATAGCATAGTAGAAAAAATAGTCTTTTGGTTGATTGTCTTGGCTTTCCTAGAAGTTCTAGAAACAAAAATCCTTTCTTTAAAGAAATATCATACTTCATTCTAATTAATTATTTTTTTTATGTCAGTCTAATGCTGACTTCAAGAATCAACCAGTTTTTGGTGATAACACAGATTAATAATAACAGGTTAATAATCTTTGCTTTTAACAAGGAGGGAGGGGTTTTTTCCCCCCACCCACTTCTGATATCTTGGGTTGGTGAGATGAGTAAAAGCAATGCTATTCACCTGTGTGGGCTATAGAGGAAGGTACTGAATTCCAAGTCGCCTGTGCTTTAAAAAACAGATGCTACAAAACAGAAAAAAACAACCCCCACCCATTGTCCTCCTTGTATTATACTTAAAGGTCAAGTCATTTGTTCAAAGCCAGTGAGAGATTTTGTGCTGTTTACACACTAAACTACCTCTAGGGAGATTCAGCACCCAAACTTGCTACCACAAGCATCATGGAAACAAGGTGAAGAAGACTACATCCATGGTACAGAGGCACAAGGGGGTGGTGTTTTCCAGAGTGTGGGACAAAATGATGCCTGGTCACCTTTTCTGACAGGTTTGTGGGTGCTGTTTGAGAGCAGCAGTTGAGAAAACAAGAGGGAACAGAGGACACTGCTGGGTAGGGAGCCAAAACACTTCCCTGGCTTACCTGCAGTGCTTGGGCAGGGGCTGTGGCTGCTGCAGAAGGCTCAGCAGTAATGTCTGCCTTGCTGCAGGAGTGAATATCCCATCATACTTCCTGCTTTCCTGGGCTGCTATACTCTCCAGATAAGGCACTTATCAGGTTGCTTTGTGTAGGAGAAAGAAAGTGTTTACATCAGTGTATGCTCCCTCTTTCTTTTTTTTTCTTTTTTTGACTCTGTGTTCATTGACTTCAAAGTACAAGCTTTCCAGCCATCAGCTGGTCTTTGATCTTCCCCTGTGGTTGCAAGCCTCCAGAAGGAGGAACATCAAAGGCAGAAATGGCTAGTTTTGTTGGCAGATGGGGATTTAATTGTTGCCCTCCTTTGTTCTGCTAGGATGCCTTCCAGGAAGAATATTACCGCACAGGAACCTACCCAGCAGTCCCCACAATACCACCCCGCCGACCATGGACACTTTTGAACTGGCTTTTCTGGGCCTTATTGCTGCTATATCCTTTGTTCCAGCTGCTCATCAACATGATCAACAGTGGATCATCACTGACACTGGCTAGTTTTGCATTTGTCATTATAATAGGTAAGTTTTCTGATACAAAAAGATTACTTAGAGTGTAACTGTCCAATAGGATTTACTGAGATTTGCTAAATACAAAGACAATTTGTGAATTCAACAACCCATCTGATATGACCACTCTAGCCTGGACTAGGTTAGAAAGACTTTTTTTTTGTTTATTTTTTTATAGTTGTACTATTTTTTATAAGAGCTGCATACAAAATTTTCTGTTTCTGTAGAATTCAAACAGTGACTTCTCAGTGGGTTGCCTACAACAGGCTTTCTTTCCGTGTGTTGTGTGTTGCTGTGTTCTACTTAAAACGTTTAGAAGAGAGGCACAAGGATAATTTATTCTTTTGAGGATGCTTTTGTCTAATCATAGTCTGATGTGTCATGCACTGGTAATCCATGAATTCATTATTTAAGCACAGCCTGTTGTGGCCATCTACTCGGATTTATGTAGCACAGGGCATGGACTGTCACAGGTGATTCCTACAGGAACTGTAGGAATCTGCCTTGGTTCTGAACTGCCTTGATTCATATTTCAACTAGTACGATATTTAAAACAAGGAAGGAAAACAAAACAAGGAGCTGGCCCGAAGAAAGGCAGGGAGATCTTATTTGGTGTTCTTCATGGAAGCAGGAACCAGGTCAGTTTAGCAAATTGCATCATATCTGGTTGTCTGTGATTGAGTGCTGGTTTGAAGAGTAAGTTCCCTTCCAGAAAAAGCCATACATTTCTAAAGCAAATACTGTCTGTTACTGCACTGACCATCACAGGAATTCATTACTTCATCACCTTCACATCTGTGTATATTACAAACAACCTTGGAAAAAGAAACAGAACTTCACAGTCTTCCTAGCTCTGAGAGAAGTTGGGTACAGAGCTGACTTAAAAAGCCATGTCCACAATAGCAATACAGAGGAGATAAGAAAATGTGGAGCATCTTCTTGTCTCAGAAGTGAATCTTTGCTCTCTACCCAGGAAATTGTTCCTAGCACATAATAATTCATTGCATTCTCCGAAGTGTGACTCTTGAGCTAGATTGATCAAGATTAGCTAACATCCTTTTAGCCATCTGTGAAGAGTTTCATGTGGTAGGCACATAATATTTTTTTTCAGAAACTGCCCATCAAAACAAATGCTGCATTAAGCTCCTGTTCATGCTTCTTAAAGAGGTAATTGGAGAAGGAACAATTTGTGTGTGTGTGTGTGCAGGCAGGAAATTTCCTTCATGATGCTTTGAGCCAGAGGAAGGAAAACAAGCAAATGCAAGATTCAGCATAACAGTTGATACATTAGGTGGGCAGGGTAGAGGAAAAAAGAAGGGGATCCTGAGCTCTTGTCTTCATCTAGAGAAATTGTTGGTGCTTGTTACCCTGGAAATGCTTTGTGTAAAACATGTAAGAGTTCCTCAGGGCAGCAACTACAACTTAAAAGCCTCTTTTTCCACTCACCTTGTTTGTTGGAAGTCACAAGCAGTATCCCCTTCCCCTTCTCTGACTGGTGAAGAGGATGGGAGTGCAGAGTGAGCACTGTGGTTGAGGTGTGCCAGGAATGGGAGCTGATGGGTGCAAATCCCTGTCACTTGCAGAGAAAGGTGAATCAGCCTCTCCTGTGCTCCTTTGCAAAGTGGGTAAACAGCAGTGGGTGGGATGAGGTGTGACACCATTGTAAATGCTACTGCCTGATAATTTGCTCAAGAGGACATTTGTTCTGCCTTTGGAAGAAAAGCATTTCTGGCACAGTCTGTTTGGAGCTGGGTTGTGGAACCATGGCCTAATGGTGCACTGAAGCATAGCTACTGCAAAATGGTTTGAATTTTTCATCTTTCCTTCAGCGTTTTTCTCTTAATTCAGTTTCTCCACTCAGCAGACTGGTTGGTTGGGTGCCATTTCAAAGTGCTTCATGCCTTGTGTACCCTCCACAGGGAGCCTCACACCATTATTCAGGGTTTCTGGAGTTTAACCTCCCAGCCGACTGCTTTACTGCTTGAAATTGTAGCATTTGTCATGGTTTTGGATTTTGCCCTTTGTAATTCAGCTGAGTTGCACCACACCCCTCACCCTGCACCCTAAGCCTAATACAATCTTGCTATTAGTGACCTAGGTCACATCTTTATCAAGAAGTGAAAGAAGGAACCTGTAAAGGAAAAAAGCTATGATGCTACCAAGAACAGACAGCAAGAATGACTTTCTTTTCATTTCTTTCCCCTTTTCATGTTCCCCATTTATCTTTCTTCTGCTTCTAGCCACTGGGAAAGGAGGTTGTTCTGAGTCATCTCTTGACTGCAGTGATAATCCAAAGCATTTATTCTCTGGTTATCTGTAATACTGGATCTGTCAGAAGGCCACAGCAGCCTGCTGCCAGAATGCACAGCAGCAGTGGATACTGGATCTGTCAGAAGGCCACAGCAGCATTGTGTGTGAGCTCCCAGGCTGCCAAAGCCCAGCAGAGAACACCTTGAGGGTGTGTGATGTGCATTGCTCCCCATCCACACCTGTCCCACCTGTGGCCTGGTGCAGCTTGCACCTCTCTGCTGGCTCTGCAGCACTCTGTGCCCAGTTCCCATTCCACTCCTGGTGTGACCAATCCCAAAGTGCCTGCACTTGCCTGGGGTTTGCCCTGCAGTGGAGGAGCCGTGGTAGAGGCTGCTGCCTGATCAGACTCAGCCACCTTTAGCTGATGGCAGGGAATGAGAAAGATGATGTCACTTATGAGCAGATGATGTCACTTCTGAGCAGATAGCAGCCACTGTGAAGCTGTGGAGGGAAGAGAATCCATGGGAGTGGAAGGAAGCTCAGCCATTAGTCAAACCAAGCAAAACACCAAGGGCTGATTTATCCTGGTCACTTAAAACTGGATGTGTCATTGTGTGCCAAAAGAGCAACAGGTACCTTAGTATGTTACAGTGTTTCTGTTTTGCCATATTCCTTTAAAACCAATATTATTGCTAGTTGGGAATAATTGATCTCTTTCTGTGGAAGCAGGAAAAAACCTCATCCCAAGCTGTCACATTGACTTTTGTAGCCAACAGCTGAGTTTCTGTAGCAAGGCCATTCTCCCCTAACTGTGTCCTGTATCCTAAGGGGGATCTCTGTCATGAACGTTCTGGATGTGGTGCAGCCATCTATTGACAGAGGAGCAGCCAGCATTTTATTCTGCAGTTTAATTTCCCCAGCTTTAGGCAAGGGCTGCAAAGTGACTCCTGCTGGGAGGGAGCAGAGCATGGACACAAACACAGCTTGGAGTTGTGGCTCGTGGTGGCAGCTGGAACTGTCTGCCCAGCACAGCCAGAGCGTAGCAAAGCAGGGAGGACTGGGTTTGCTGTCCTTACAGTGGGAGTGGTGATTGCTACCTGGTGGCTTAACAATGTAAAAGGAAGGTTTTTCTGCAGACTGAAGGGATTTATCAGATGACAAAATCCGCTCTTCCCATTGCTCCTAGCAGATCTTTTCTCACCGTTTGTAACTGAAGCACACGGGTAGCACACAGGCACTTTGGCAGCTCACATGATACTCCAGAATCAGGAACTTTACTGCAGTCCCTAATAGCCCATTGTAATAGGTTCCTGGTTTTAAGGGTGGGTTTCAGTACCTGATACAGGTGCAGAGGTGCAAATAAGCACAAAACAAATCTTTTGTGATAGAGCACATTAACTAAGAGGTCTTTTCACCTGGTACCCTCTGCATTGTTTCTAGATCATTATTTTGGATAGTTTCTGGATAAAACTTTGGATATTTTCTGCTTATTGTGCTCTCCAGTTAAACACTGACTGGCTGTTCAGGTGGAAAGAGCTCTAAGATGAATGCTCCACTTGAGCTGGAGTGGAAGGACGGTAATCCCTCAGACCCTAACTCTGAGACCTAAGAATGAGTAACTCTTGAATGTACAGCTCTGCTATAAATGACATTTCTTTATGCTGTGAATGCTGTCCCCTTGTGCTTTGCTGTGCAGCAGTTTGGCTGTTTATACTACCAAAAGTCATCCCACTGTGCTCATACCTTAATGCTGCTGTGGGACTGGGAGCCCTTTGTGAAGCTACTTGAATCAGTACAAGGCATTTGCTGCTCCAGAGGATAAATGCTCAAGTAGTTTGAGGGACAAAAGTGTTTTGAAAACCAGCTTTAGTTTCACAGGACACATGGCTGGAGATTTAGGTACTTAGCTCCCAACAACTATTTAAAACTTGGTGTTGATATTTTGGTGCTGAAGCAGTAGGCACATCTGTCAAATGTCAGTATCTGTATTTGACAGCAGCTTCTTTTTTTTTCTCCTCCTCCTGCTTCCCCAGTCTCATTTGGCTTCAAAGAACCAAATGTTGGGTTGCCTTTCATGTTTTGATAACTTGTGTTGAGGGGCACACCCACCCTTCATGCTCTAGAAGTAATTATTGTAAAGCTGTCAAGAGCAGTTAAAAGGATGCAAAAGATGAGAGGGTTTTTTAAGGGAGCAGCAGCTATTCCATGTTTAATGCTAAAAGCACAGTGGCATCTGGGCTGATGGCACAGGGCCAGCAGCTACATTTCAGTTCTGGGCGAGAGAAGTGTTCCCTCTGAAGGGAGTGCAGTAGTGATGGGCCAGCTGGGATTCCATGGGAGCTGCTGTGTGTGGGCTGTGCACTGTGTGGCTGGGATCACAGTGTGACCTGGGCAGCAAGGCTGGCAGTGCCTGCAGGCTGACATGAATGGAAGGTGAGGAGAGGACACGCCAGCAGGGTTGCAATAAGTTTTACAACAGGATATAAACCACATGCAGGATTGTGCCTGCATCAATTCTGCCTTTTGGTGGAGCTGCCAGATAGTCTGGCCTTTCAGCCTGGTGCCTAGAAATTGGGGGATTTGGGGTGGGTTGTTTACTTTTTTTATGTGAGTGTGTTGGTTGTTTCTTCACCTTCATAGTATGTAGGATAGGCCCTCGATGGAAATGTCTACCATTCATACAGTCTTTAGTTGTACAAATCTCAATTTCAATGCATAACCTATATAACTCAAGTGCAAACTAAATGTGGGAAATTTTTATGCCCCTGCCTGCTGTGCTGCTTACAGCATGTGCTGTGTAGTATAAAGGCAGGGCAACAGATGAGAAAAAAATCCTGAGCTGTAAAAGAAAAGGTGGAAATCCTTTGAGCTAAGTTTTGCTGAGGGATGAGATACTACATGTGAAGGTGGTGATTTTCTTGGAGCTAAAATGTGTTCCAAGAAAGATTACACTCCTGGCTCTCTTGACTGTGGCAGCTCAGCCCTCCTTGAGCCCCAGCACTCGAGCAGGCAGAGCAGGTCCTCAGCAACCTCCTGCATCTTTAGGATGCTGAGTAATGGGGGACACAAAGATGCAGGAGCTCAGTTACCTCAGTTTGCTGTGGAGTAGTGCAAGGATGCTTCAGTCAGTAACTTCTCTCATGCACTTCTCAGCGTGGTTTTAAACCCTCACAACTATGAAGTGAGGCACTGCTGATTAGTTACTGCTTGATCTCCCTTTCTCCCCTTTCTTGAAGTAAAAAGCCTGAAGTCCCCCTTACTACAGTTGTATGTAAAACAGGGAGTAAATAGCTCCTGAAATATCAAGGTATCTCTCAGGTCTGCCTTGAGGCTCCAGGAGAGCTGTGGCGAGGAGGCAGTGCAGGCACAGACCAGGGAGGCAGCCCAGCCTTGCCCCACTTCACTTCCACACGCCTGGCAAACATGGGCAGTCCTCTTCTCCTTGCACCCACCTTCCCCAGGGTGCTGAGGGCTACAGGGTGAAATGGGGATAGAAGGCAGTGGCAGCTTCTGCCAGGGAGCAAAGGACAAAAAAGGACATCTGAACTGCTGAACTAGTTGGTTTTTGTGTCCAGGCATTCTTGGAACTGGATGAAATCCCCAGTATGGTGTGTGGCTGCTGTAACAGCTGCTCTTATTCATGCTCTGTGTCCATCTCCAGATGCTGCTTCTATCCCTTGTGGTTAAAAAGCTTAATGATTTCATGCTTGCTATTATGTTATGATCCCAGACTGCAGGCTACACGTTGGATCTTTCTCTTGTGTTCCCCAGCTCATGGCCAGTTAAATGTCAGAGATGTTTTTTTCTTTCTTGTCTGCCTATGAGAGTGAAGCCCTTTGCCCGTCTCAGTGGCGTGTGTTTCTGTTCACAGAGTGACAGGAGTGTAAGTGACAGTGAGTGCCCTCAGAGCCAGCTCCCTTTCTGGACTGTTCACTGCACATCTGTGCCTGTGAGAGGGCCCTGCTTTCCTGGCATCCACAAGGCCTGAGGGCAGCCCCATGGGCAGCCCAGCTTCCCAGTGTCCAGCCATGCTGTCACATCACACGTGACTCATCCCTGGCATCCAGTTACCACTTGCACTCTAAAAACTGCCAGCTTACTGTCAGACTGCACAGCAGGAGTCTGTAGTGATGGCTCTTTGCTGTCCCTGTTGCTGTGCCAAGTAGCAGCTGGAAAAGCAAGGGCAGCAGTGTTTGCCAGCTGCCAGCCCCCTCCTCTTCCAGTGCTGAAGAGCAGAAAATGCCAGGACACGGCCTTGGATCAGCCCTGCGGTTCACAAGGGATGTCTGGGAGTGGGATGAAACCTCTGGATTCTCTTGGTGATCTCAGGCACTGACTTAACCATAAAGAGTCTTTTGGCTGGTGAGAATTTGTCCAGAGTCATCTTAGAGAAGTAAAGAGTGATGGGAATGAGACATCTAGAGACCTCACCTGACTGTCACCATCAGTCAGACAGCGGGATTTGGAGGCTTAGGGGAGGTTTGTGGCTTTCTTAGTTTTGTTTGGTTTGGGTTCCTGTTTTTTGGAAAGCATTCTGAGCAGAGGGAAGATGTTTGTGACTTCCTAATAGGTTTAGGCCTGAAAGAAGTGTGGCAGTTCTGAACGTGTAGAGTAGCTGGGCAGAAGCTTGAGGAATAATAGATTTTGGGCAGCCGAGCCCCTTTACAGAGAAACCAAAAGTGTGAGGGAAGGGGTTTAGGTTAAGTTGCATTCAACTTAGTCACTTTAAGTGCTACAGATAAATAAATAATCCTTGCACATGGTAAATTATTACCACTGAATCATCTATAAAAGTCTTTTAAATTCATCTGTTTTCTTGTAATGGACTTTTTCATGAGCTACCATTAACAAATACCACAACTTACTTTTTTTTAATCAAGATCTGAAGTTCCCTTGCGCTTGCTTGTGCTCTTTCAGACGTGGGGCTGTTAAAAGCCAGCAGAATTCCCTTCCCCTGGCATGCAGGGCTGTGCGTGCCTGTGCCTCTCACACCCATCCTGGCTCCTTGTAGCCTCTTCCTGTTGATGGGAGGGGATGTGTCCAGCCTGAGGCTCTTCCTTCATGAGATGCCATAAGCAAATAAGTTGATGTGGAGGTGTGGGAGCATCTGCTGCACCTTTCATCCAAGGTCTCTTTCATGATGCTGCTACACCAGTAGAGATTTTCAGGCCATGCCTTAAGCACCTTTAACTGTGTTTGTTTTGCAGCTTCTGTTGGTGTGAGATGGATGATCGGGGTTACAGAAATTAACAAGGGCTCCACCTATGGCAACAATGACAACAAGCAGAAACAAAAGTAGCACCTTCAGAGACTGCTTCAACCCAAAGGGAACAAACACAACTGCTGAAAACTCTTTAAGTGCATATCACGGTCCTTCAAGTGAGAGCAGAGGATGAGTAATGGCCGTGCATATCTGAATTTGTGCTCCTGTTGTTTTTCTCTGGGGTTTGGGCTGGATGACATGCTGGAAGGATGCACTCCTTCGTATACTCTCAACAACAGGTTTGCACATGTGTGGTTGGTTTGTTTTCCTATGAAGTGTCTTAAGTTCTGAAGAAAACAAAATAAATTCCAGCGTGCTTGTATGAAGAGACTCTACCTGGAAACTAACCAGAGGTGCAAGCTTTAATGTCAGAAGATTGTTACAAGATGATTAAACTTGATAGTTGTGTAGCTCACACAGTTTAACAACCATAATCTGTCAGTGTTTAAACACAGCACAGCGGGATGCTGTGCTTGGTTATAGCAGTATTGGACTGAAGCAGCTCTGCTGAACTGGCAGAACTACTGTAGAGTTTTTGTACATCCAGAAGTTACTCCCACAGTGTGCACTACATGGGCCCTTCAAAACTTCAGCCAGACCCTGCCTGGACATCCAGACACTGGAGCCTGGCAGTAGCAGAGCCTGGATCAGAATTTGGCCTTGTGGCCTGAGCAGAGCTAAAAGTTACCCACTGCCCTCTCTTTCCCCAGGCCATGCATCCAAGGTATAGCTGAAACCTGTAATTCTTCAGAGTAAATGTCATTTTTAATTTGGAAAACTTGAAGTAGAAAAATTCCTTTTGGCTCTAAATGCTACTTAAAATTCCAGGCCGTCCTAACAATTTTGGAAAGAAAATGACTGGGCATGTTGTAGTGAAATAATGCCAAATGTGCATTACAACATATGCCCTGTACCCAGACTGTTGTGACCCTAATTTACCTGCTTGTCTGTCTTTTCTGATAAATTAGTTTACTTGGTGCCTCATAACAGTCAGCCTGAATTAGTAGTAAATTATTTTCTTCTGGGGAGGAGGGGAACTAGGAGAGAGACCTAGGACAGTGGGTATGGCTGATTTATGTCTGTCTTGATTTGACACCCTTTTGAATTAAATGAAACTAGAATGAAGCTCTGAGGAAAGGGGGTGGCTCTGACAGTCCTGGTACTGATCTCAGGACAGCTGCCTCCTGTTTTTAAACTTAGAGTTATGGATCTGCAGGTTACTATAAATAACTTGTTTAAAGCAGGGGGGAAAAAGGAAAGGAGGGGACATTAACTAACAGCAAATATGATTGCAAAAAAAAATCCCAATTTTTAAAGTCTACAGATCCTGACACTGAGCAGTGGAGGTTGTGATTGACACTTTCAAAGACAGTCCATATTCACTCAGCATAGAGCTAAGCCATGATAGTCTTTAGTGAAGAAAGTGAGTAGTCCTACTCTACAGGTGGTAAAAAAACATTGTTCTTGTCATATGATAAAACTGAGGCCAGAAGAAACAGGCTAATACAACAATATGAATCATTCCCTGAAATGTGTATTTGCTATTCAGTACATCAGATAATCTTGAAACTCACCTTTTTAATATGCAGAACCTAAGAAGCAGGTGAAGTAGTGCTTTTAGCATGGAGCAATAAGTGAAGTTTAGGGATAGTGCAGGCAGTAACATTTACAACGTGAAGGAAGGCATAGACAGTGTGAGAGACTGCTTTGGGAGGCTTTTTGCCTCACACATCTTGTGTACACATGCATTCCCTATGTTCTGAAGCTTTCAGGAGCAGGTCAGATGGGCTCAGATGTTTTTAGAGCCCAAAAGTAGAAAACACTGTAATGTTTACAGTGCTGTTTAATAAAGCACATGCCCTGCACTCTATTTGCTGTAACACTCTTAACAGTGAAAAACTGAGTATTGCATCTGTAGTAATGATCAGGCACAGCCACAAGCCAGACCTGAAGCCACTGCACACAAGAGCTGGAAAATGGGTTGGAGGGGAGAAAGGAAAGGCCTCTCCAGGGTAGCATTTTACTGTGAACATTACCTGGCAGGCCCAGTGGCCTTTTCTCTGGGTGATGGGTGAGCAGTTCTGAGCAGCAAATACATATTCCTGGAGTGACAGAGGCTGTTCTGCCTTCCTGAGAGCCATGGATTTAACATGCAGTGAGGAAGACATTTGGCATTCCTTATGAATCTTAGTCCTTCCCCCTCCAACTGCATGCAGTGCCCTTCTCCCAACGGAAAGCACCAAACAAATAAACAGTTCTGAAAGAGTACTGAGGTGATTTCATACCCGTGTCCCTGGGACCAACTCTTAGAACAGGCTGATGGCCAAACATGCCACTCTGGATCCATCCTCCCAAGCACTTGTGCAAGTCCTGGCACACCACTGAGGCCCTTCCAGCACTCACTGACAAACAGAGAAAGCTCAGTGGTCCTTGCCAAAGTTAAACTTCTCCAGTTCACTGTATTTAAAGAATGACATAGGTTATTAGGAAGCAGTGTTTGCCCCTCATCCCCACAAGCAACTGTATGTTCTACAACTGCCTTAACAAAATTAGTCTTAATGTTTGTTTATACAAAAATAAAAGTATAAAAAGCTAATATGCAGTGAATGAGTTTTCTTTTGGTTGGCAAGAACAAACTGGTAACAGTTTGTCACCTTTATCCTGACTTGTAAAAGCTGCCCACTGTTCCTGTTTGTGTCCAAGGGCACCTGAAGCAAGGCAAGTGAGGACACAACTCACTCAGGTACTTCTGTTACACTGCAGAGTGAAGCACACAGCAGGCTGGGGGGGACACTTTTACCTCAGGTACTTTCATAGTCCTTTACTGAGGATGACAACATACCTCCTATCACACAACTGAAAATAGAGCACTGAAAAGAAGGGAAGTCTTTGTTTAAATTTAGCATTCTGTTTTTTGAGAGCGTTAATACCTGCACAGGTGACATGCACAGCAAGGCTCATACTTTTCTAGGTAGAAATGTCAGATTTTGTGGAACTTCCTTGACAACTCACCCCACACCTGTGACTAATCAAGAATTTGTGGATTAAGATTAGAGACAAGACACCAGGTTATAAAACCAAATACTAGAAGCATTTTAAATTACCTGTTTTAAATCTAAAGCTGTAACAGGAATATATAAACTTGCACTAATGTTTACAAGTAACAGTTTTAAGTCACCTGTTTTTAATAGCAAGGAAAAAAAAATCAACTAGATCATACATTGCAGACTATATCTTCCAGTTGCTAACCACTTCTAATCTCTCTTCCTTTTCTGAGGCTGATGACAACTGAGGTGTGTGGTGGGGAAATGAAAGCCCAGGATCAGAAATCAGTTTTCAGAAGGTAACAGTAGGTTCTTGGTTTTGCCAAACAGAACACAAGAATCAGCTGGTACAGATCTCTTCTAGAAGACAAAAATGTCATGCAGAGCACTCCCTGTTCACAGTGCATACATCCAAGAAGGAAGGTATCCCTTAGATAAAAGGCAGTGTCAGGAATTGCCCATCACCCACTTTTCTCAGAAGATGATGGAAGGGGGAACCTTATTTCTCTTACCTCTTGTGTAAGAAACATCTCACAGTACTCATCTTGAAACTTGACACAACACTGACTACTGCAATACACAAGCAGCTTATTCCAGTTAGGTCAGCTTAGCAGTCTTATCCCAATGTTGCAAAAAAGTTTAAAATGTGGCACAGTCCCACATTTATTTTTGGAAGAAAAACCCTTCACCAACATCTCCTAAAATAAACCATTTATTGAGAAAAACCTTTTTTTTTAATTTCATTAATCAGCCTTGTGCATAACAAATCCGAAGCTTGCCAAAAACAAATAAACAAAAACCCCAGTAAAAGTTCACAGTCAGTGCACTCAAACAGATTAAAAAACAAGGTCCATAACGCCTGATAACACTACAGCATTTTTCTGAACCTAGAGAGTTCAAAAATACTACATATTAACAATACAAGTTCTCAGTCAAATGAGAAACAGGAGAAGGAACAAAAAGGGTATGGTCCATATACAGTAGTAATGGCACTTTCACTGATACATGCAGCTTCTTCCAACTTGCGGACACGTCACGTGAGCAACATGTGCCAAGTAAAATGTACAGGAGCAGCAGAGGAAGTGACACTGTCACTTGTGCAGTCTTCGTTAAGGTCAACTTTTATACTGCTTCTCAGCACAGTCTATGTAAATATTACATACAGTAGTGATTTGAATCTTGTCAGAGTAGAAAAGGCCAGAGATTGAGTAACTTCATTCTTCGTCTGTGCAAACCTGTGAAGGAAGCAAAAGGCAATTACTTCAGCATTTTCCTCCTGCAGCAAGATGATAATGGATCCATTTCTTTAGCACCTTCACCTGGAAGTTTTCTCTCCCTCATCCACAGTAATGCATTACAAGTGTTTGCATGGGAGTACTGACATTCCCATGTTACCATGCATCCTTAAGGTGCCTAAAGCAGTGTCCACCTCTGATGGATGGGATCTGCTACAGCTGCACTGATGAGGAATGGGTGATGATGCCAAACACACTGCTACTGAATCAGAACACCAAAGTGATCAACTTTATGCTGGAAAATGAGACAGAATTCAACAAAAACTGCTGCGCTCCTACTCCTTCATAAAAGAAGTTACAAATACAGCTCAGTTTGTAGCTGTGAATGTTTGCCTGTTCTTAAGGAAAGCATCACACCACAGTTCATGCAAGAACTGCAGCCTGTTACAGCAGCTGCCAGATAAAACATTCAAGTATGACCTTAACGTTACGTAGGAACTTAAAAGAAAAGCAGCTCTTTGCACAGAAGAATGGGAGACTTCTTGTGTGTGGTTTCACTTTTTATGGAGGGGTCCTCATCTCTAAAAACCTGTGCATTTGTACTTGCTGAAGTTTTTGCTGCAAAGCCCTTCAGATCCAATTAGCTACCACTGAGTTGGAGCCTGACTTGTCTTTTTAACATAAAGACAATGCATTTCAAAACAGCAGTGAAAGTTTATTGCATGGTGCACACCACGTCCTATGGTCACATGCTTGCTGAAAGCAACACATGTGCTGCTGGAAAATTGCCAATCCATTTTTCCTGGACAGCAGCAATTTGCTAGCAGCCCCTCACCATGGTACCAACCTCTGTGGCATCACTGAGAGCAAAGAAGCCAAGTAAAAGCTGTTCCCCATTCCCATCTGCAGTTTTTGTAGCCAAAGTCATCAGACAAACCTTGACAAAAGGATGATCGAGAAGCTGGCTGGCCGTCCACCTCATCTTTGGGTCACTTTCCAAGCAGTGGCAAAGGAAGTCTTTCCCTTCTGGGCTCACTTTGTCAGGAATAGGAGGTTTATGACCCATCCCCACTTTATACATGATCTGGAAGTTGTGCTCATATTCATGCCAAGGCCTCTGCAACAGGTGACAGCATTGCTAAGTGCAAGCTTTAGTGAGTAACTTGCTACCCACTAGAGCATGTATTTCTGTGCTCCAGGAAATGAAAACCATCCCCGTCCTTGCAGACATGAGTGTGACAAACTGCTGAGAGTGGGACCAGAATTTGCAGAAAAACTGCTGGGAACAGTTTGCTTTTCATCAGCACATGAAACATCCCTACCTTGCCCGTGACCATCTCTATGACAACACAGCCCAGGCTCCAGATGTCTGCTGCACGTCCATGCCCTTCTCCTTTAGCTCTAGTGATTACTTCCGGAGCCATGTATGCTTTGAAACAACATATATGATGCCATCAGTTCATACAGCAGAAGGAACAGTATACATCAAGTGACTGACTGGGTAAACCAAATGCTTATTTAAATACCCAATTAATTACTACTTAGGTTTTCTTGCTAAGTTTTGCCATTTGTTGGTTTCTTGTTCTTTGACATGTTTTCAGCACAACTGTCTTTCAGCCTGAAAAGTGATATTGAAAATGCTGTTACAGTACATGCTTTCAGTGACTGCCATTTTCTGAAAATCTATTGGGCAGCTGTTTAGTGAAGAGTACTGTTTCAGTAAGGCTGCAGAGAAAAATACAACCCCAGAAAACACATGCTCCAGCATTTCTGAAGTTACAGACAAACACGATTTTAACTCTCACATTGTTATTCACTTATTGTTTTGGCTTCTGGATGTAAAGCACAAAACTAGCTAAGGTAAAATCAAGTTTCCCTGAAACACATGGTTTTACTCCAGACTTCTGGCAGAGATATCTTCCTTTATGGTAAGTAGACAAGCACCTGCCTAGCACAAGCTTCCTCACCTGCAGTCCCCAAGGTACTGTTCACTTCTCCAGGCATTGTCTGGGTATTGTTCTTCAGCTTCACTGAGCAGCCAAAGTCTCCTAGTTTAATCAGTCCAGATGAGGTAAGAAAGATGTTGGCTCCTAAGAAACATAAGGAAATATGGACACACTTGTTTAAACCAGAGCTGAATTAAGGTCTTCTCAATAGCCTTGGAAGTTGCAATGGATAATAGCTTCAATTCACATTTAGATCTTTACCTGTGAATTAAGTGTGGAATATGACAGCATTAAAGATGTTCTGATGGGTTTGTGCTAACATGAAGTGTACTGGAAGTTGACAAGTGTTCAAACAAAAAAAAAAAAAAAAAAAAAAAAAAAAAAAAAAAAAAAAAAAAAGGAAGTATGGCAGGCAAATTAAACAGCTTTCCATATAAGCTCGTTACAAGAAATTACTCCTTCAGGAATGCCAATGCTTCTCCTTGTGAGCATTAAATGCAGAAGGAGAAACTGCTTCCTGGCAGAGGCCATTGCTGTGTCCCTCCCACTAGTATCTCTTCAGTTTTCCTGAGTCAAGACAGATGATATCACACTTGTCAATAAAAATAGTGTAACAGGATGAGGGAGGGAATCATCCCCCTGTACTCAGTTCTGGTGAGGCTGCACCTCAAGTTCTGTGTCCAGCTCTGGGCCCCTCACTACAAGAAGGACATCGAGGTGCTGGAGCATGTCCAGAGAAGGGCAACAGAGCAGGGAAGGGTGTGGGGCACAAGTCCTGTGAGGAGAGGCTGAGGGGGCTGGGGGTGTTTAGCCTGGATAAGAGGAGGCTCAGGGGGGACCTTGTTGCTCCCCACAGCTGCCTGAAAGGAGGGTGTGGCCAGGTGGGGGTCTGCCTCTTCTACCAGGCAACCAGGGACAGGATGGGAGCAAATGGCCTCAAGCTGCACCAGGAGAGGTTCAGGCTGGACATCAGGAGGAATTTCTTCACTGAGTGGTCAGGCATTGAAACAGGCTGCCCAAGGAGGTGGTGGAGTCACCATCCCTGGGAGTGTCCAAGGTACAACTGGGCATGGCACTCAATGTCATGTTTTAGTTGTCTGACATTGTGGTGGTTTGTCCAAGGTTGGACTCAATTTTGGAGGTTTTTTCCAACTTTAATGACCCTGTGGTCACAGTTGACTTGCAAAACAGAGTTTAGAGCAATGTATTACTTATACTACCAAGTGCCTACTCCTGTGCCACTTTACTTCCAGAGTAATTTTTGGAGGAGGACTACCATTAAAATAACTTGCTATACTGGCAGCTTACACTAGAACAAACTTCCCTAGCATAGTTAAAAATCTCCAAGGGGGATCTGCAAGTGGCTTCAAG